CTTTTTCATTGAGAATATTGTACTTCTGAAGTTATATTAAATAACAATTTTTTAAAATGGTGTATTATTTTAAGATTTTATTTATTTATTTGAGAGGTAGAGTTAACAGACAGAGAGGGGGAAAGATAGAGAGAAAGGTCTTCCATCTACTGGTTCACTCCCCAAATGACTGCAATGGCTGAGGCTAGGCCAGGCTGTAGTCAGGAGCCAGGAGCCTCATCCAGGTCTCCCACATGGTACAGGGGCCAAAGGACTTGGGCCATCTTCTACTGCTTTTCCAGGCCATAAGCAGAGAGCTGGATTGGAAGAGGAGCAGCCAGGACATGAACAAGTGCCCATATGGGAAGCTGGCGCCACAAGAAGAGGCTTAGCCCACTATGCCACAGCACCGGCCCCTACAATTATTTTTTACAGTGGGAAAAATGTCCTTAAATTACCACAAAAAGTAGCTATTAAAAAAAGCATTAAAAATGTGTACATAAGATCCTACCTTAGGTAGCTTTCGCTGTGTAACAACTAACTTCAACTTAGTGTCTTAGAAAAAATAGTCAACATTTATTATCTCACATTTCTGGTGTATCAAGAATTCAGGAGCAATTTGGGTGGGTGGCTGAACCTCAGGATCTCTCAGGAGGCTGCCATTAGGGTGCTGGCAGGGCTGCAGTCATCTCACTCACATGGCATTATCAGGAGGCCTTGGCACATCACCATGCCAGCCTCTGCATAAGGAGGTTGAATTTGGCCACTACATGGCAGCTGGCTCCTTCCAGAGTCAGTGATTTGAAAGGAAGGCAGAAACCACAATGATCCATATGGCTTATTATCAGACATTACTGTTCCATAATGTGCTATTCATTAGAAGACAATCACTAAGTGTAGCCCACACTCACGGGAAGGAAAATTAAACCTCACCTCTTAAAAGGAGTATCTAAGAATTTGTGGACATATTTTAAAATCACCACAAACTACACACATCAAAATAAAACAACATCTATACATACACATAATATATAGAAAGAAATGTTAAAGTTACCATGAGAGTAGAAATATAATAACATAAATCTGTCCCCTTTTCACTTTCCTTTTTTGTCATCTATAAAGGGAAGTTTCACAAGTTATGTCAAAACACAATCCCAATGTATTGGGGTCAATAGGTGAAGGTAATTGTATCTACTCAATAGATTAACTTGGGCAGAATGGAGATCTTTAGAACATTTATTTCTCTTCTTCATAAATATGGTATATCTCCACCATTTACTTAGATAGTATTTAAAGTCTCTTGATGGTCATAATTTTCTCAGAAGAGATATGCATTTTTATATTTGGTTGAATTTATTCACAAGTATTTGATATTTTCTGACATTACTATATTAAACTGTAATATCTAGTTGTTTGTTGTTGCTGCAAAGAAATTAATGCATTTTATTCAGATCTTATAAATATAGTCAGATTCCTAAACTTTATATTATATCTTGTATTATTTTCTCTTGTATTCTTTTGGATTTCCTTGTTAAACTATTTTATCATCTGAAATAATGAAAGTGATTTTTTTAAAGATTTATTTATTTAAATCCAGAGCTACACAGAGAGAGAGAGAGACAGACAGAGAGAGAGAGGGAGAGACAGAGAGGGAAAGAGAGGTCTTCAGTCCTCTGGTTCACTCCCAAGTGGCTGCAATGGCCAGGCCAGGATCAGGCCAAAGCCAGGAGCCAGGAGCTTCTTCCGGGTCTCCCACATGGGTCACGGAGGCCCAAACACTTGGGCCATCTTCTACTGCTTTCCCAGGCCATCTGCAGAGAGCTGGAGGGGAAGTAGAGCAGCCAGGACTTGGACCAGCCTCCATATGGAATGTAGGCATCACACGTGGTGGATTTACCAGTTATGCCACAACGCCAGTCCCTGAAAATAATGAAAATTTTATTTCTACTTTTCTGATTCAAGGTTCTGAATGACATAGCATTAAAAAGGAGCTCCACGAAAGAACGGGGCCATCAAAGAAGGGAGGAGAGAACTTCCACTTTGTGACAATGACCCTGTCGGAATAAGATCAAAGTTGGCGAACTCAAAAAGCTTCCATAGCCTTGGCAATCCATGACTAGAGCCTAGGGAGATTACTGACGCCATAAACAAGAGTGTCAAATTGTTAAGTCAACAACAGGAGTCACTGTGTATTTACTTCTCATGTGGGATCTGTCCTTAATGTGTTGTCCAATGTGAAGTAATGCTATAACTAGTACTGAAACAGTATTTTACACTTTGTGTTTCTGTGTGGGTGCAAACTGATGAAATCTTTACTTAATATATACTAAATTGATCTTCTGTATATAAAGATAATTGAAAATGAATCTTGATGTGAATGGAATGGGAGAGGGAGCAGGAGATGGGAGGGGTGCGAGTGGGAGGGAAGTTATGGGGTGGGGGGAGCCATTGTAATCCATAAACTGTACTTTGGAAATTTATATTTACTAAATAAAAAAAAATAAATAAAAAAAGGAGCTCCACGATTCACAAGAAGTTAGAAGATGTGTATAAAAAAATTTGACTCATATAGGGTAGATTCCCCAAATATACAAGTAATTTATTAATTTTTTTTACAGGCAGAGTTAGTGAGAGAGAAAGACAGAGAGGAAGGTCTTCCTTTTTCCGTTGGTTCACCCTTCAATGGCCGCTATAGCCGGCGCATTGCGGCCGGTGCGCTGCGCTGATCTGAAGCCAGGAGCCAGGTGCTTCCTCCTGGTCTCCCATGCGGGTGCAGGGCCCAAGGACCTGGGCCATCCTCCACTGCACTCCTGGGCCACAGAAGAGAGTTGGACTGGAAGAGGAGCAACCGGGACAGAATTCCATGCCCCAACCAGGACTAGAACCCGGGGTGCCGGCACTGCAGGCAGAGGATTAGCCTAGTGAGCCTCAGCGCCGGCCCTAATTTATAAATTTTTCAACAAGGACTAATAATTGACATAAAAAGTAAAAAAAAAAAAAATAAAAGTGTAAAGGCTGTAAAATCCAATTCCCAAAAAATACAGCGCAAATATTTAATTAATATATACAAGATGTTCGCATCAATATAAATTAGGAAAAGGCAAATTTGTATTATAATCGTACACATTTAAACCCACAAGAACAACAAAATTTTAAAAAGGAAACTAAATCCTGGTGTTGTTGACAATAAAGAAAACAGGAATTCTGTCACTGCTGGTGCCAGTGTAACTAGTACTGTCAATTTGTAGAGCAATTTAGTAATATTTAGTGGCATTGAGGTTGCTCACAACCAACCACCCAACAGTGCTAGTAGAAGAATATAATGTCTTTTAGTTTTATATTTTAATGTCTTTTAGTGAGTGGGTAGCTAACTGAATTGTGAGGCAGATAAAATTAATGAACTGTATCTGCATATAATCATGCATCTTGATAACAGTGTGTAATGAATAACCAAAAATGTTAGTGGGAAAATAAAATGTACAACATGGAATCATCTTTGTAAATCTTGAAAACAAGATCACATTGTTATATAAGCGTGCTTCAATCAGTTCATGGTTGGGAGGGAGTTCAGCCGAGCAGTTATGACTCCAGATAGGTCACCCATGGCCCTTATTGGAGCTCTTGGATGTGAGTTCCAGCTCCTGATTCCAGTTTCCTGTTAAACGGACCCTGGGAGGCACTGGTAATGGCTCAAGTAATTGGGCTGGCTCCTTCTGTCCAAGTAGAGGACATACATTGAGTCCCCAGCTCCCAGCTCTGTCCCCAACCAATCCCAGCTGGTGGATGGGAGCTGTCTTTGTCCCTCTCTGTCTACCTGTCTCTGCCTTACAAATAAATAAAAAGGGTTTTTTTTTTTTAAACGTTCATGGGGAAATGGCATTAAAAGATAAGCTTATCTTGGTGCAAACAATTTTTGAAACCTAGGCATACTTTCTTCATAATATACATTGTTGGTGAACATGAAATACCCTGTTCTCTACATCATACACCCTAAGTTCATGAATTGAGTGACTCCAGAGGTGATAGGAGGGGGGAAGGAACACGGCAGAGAAATAGAGTTTCTATTATGAAATTAAATATTAATTTTCACAATTTATTTATTTTTTAAATATTTATTTTTTATTTGAAAGACAGAGTTACAGAGAGAAGTAGAGAGAGAGTCTTCCATCCGCTGGTTCACTCCCCAGATGGCCGCAACGGCCGGAGCTCAGCCGATCCAGAGCCAGAAGCCAGGAGCTTCTTTCGGGTCTCCCATGCAGGTGCAGGGGCCCAAGGACTTGGGCCATCTTCTACTGCTTTCACGGGCTATAGCACAGAGCTGGATTGGAAGTGGAGCAGCCAGGTCTCAAACCATTGCCCATATGGGATGCTGGCACCTCAGGCCAGGGCATTAACCCGCTGCGCCACAGTACCAGCCCCAATTTTCACAATTTAAAGAAAATACAACAAAAGGTTAACATTAATTTGATAGTAGAGCGTTATGCGGTAATTATTTTATAACTCTCCAGTTTTTCCATGTTTTAAAAGAAATGCCAATGAAAAAGAACGTATTGATCAGCGGGTAAGTACCGCGGTCACTTCACCACTCTCACTGACCCTGAAACTATTTCACCTGTTACTTTCTCTCTGCATTCACCCTGGACCTCAGTTTTCATGACCGCAATCTAAGAAAGGGAGCGGATGACTGTTTCACAGTCTTCGCATACTTCGGGGCTTTCCATTTCCCAGCCCCTCGCATCTGTCTTCCTTTCAACACTGATGACCCGAATCCAACAATCCAATTCTGAAACGTTACCACGAAACTTTGACCGGAGCATGCTCCGTAACCAAATTTGCTAAAATCCCAGGGAGATTATTTGAGGGTCTTATTCTGTTTATTTTCTTAGGACTCCTCCAAATTCCGTTTAACAGAAAAGCCCTAACTTCTCGCTGGTCATCTCTGCCATAGCAAAAGTATAAGAGCAAAGATGCGGTATTAGGGCAGATGCGCGGAGGGGCTACCGCGTTCTTCCTTGGGCTCTGACCCGGGCAAAGAGCAGCCAGCTTAGCAATGCGCTGCGGCGAGGCCCTCGTAACTTTGAACAGCTTGGACAGCGCACTGTGGATGGAACAAGTTGTACTGGCAGCTTCGGAAACCATCGCTCTCCCTGTTCTGGGGAAAGGGAAGTGGGGGCGGGGGCAACAAAGCCGGGAGAAGGAGAGGGAGGGCTGCCCAGGTCGGCATCCGGAGGGGAGTGCATCTGGCTGGGCAAACTCGGGTGGGCAGGAGCCCTGAGCTTCGACAGCTCAGTGATCCCCGGGCTGCAGCCTGTGCAGCCCAGGGAGGGGTCGGGGGGCTGCGGGAGGAATCGGTCCCGCCAGCTTTCTGGCCGCTGGCGTCCAGCGCGGGCGAGGGGGTGGCGGAGGCTGCCCAGGCAGAGCGGGGCGCGCAGCCCCAGAAACTTCCACCTGCCCTGGACCGCCACTCAGCCATGGGCTACCAGGGGCTGCAGCCCGTCATCCTGCCGCAGGTAAAACGCCACGGGGGCCGTCTCTGAGGCCCGTTCCTCTCAGGTTTTCTTCCCCTTAGCGAAGAGCTCAGCTGTTTTCACGTGGAGTCTGGGTTTAGCACCGCGGAAGGTTCTCCGGGAGGGAAGAAAGTTTTGCTTTGATTTTTTTTTTTTTTAATTGGCAGGCACTTTTCATTATAACTTCTTTAATTTCACTAAATCTCATCGTCGACTTCCCTAACAGATCCTGTGTCTGGGGCTCCATGCAGTATTTGAGCGAGTGTAATGTGGCCATTCTAGGACAGAGTTTGCTTCGAAAGTTCTGTTGCACGAAGAGCTGTTACTGCTGTTCTTTGCTATTTTCCTCCTCCTAATTTTATTACCCTTATTGAGAATACTTATTACTGCAAATAGCGTGTTGGTATCCGGTGTTGCATATTTGTCTGACATTTTCTAACTTTTGATTGAGTAATGTCTGTTCAATCTCCATTTCATCTATTAAACTAGGGAGATGTAGATGATAGAGAAACCCTGGTTTCCAATCAGGAGAACAAAGGCAAAACCTACCAGTCTGCTGCTGTTTTCAATGTTGTCAACTCCATTATAGGATCCGGTATAATAGGTGAGTGTTTTGTTTTTAATTTAAAGTGAATACTCCAAATTTAGAATAAATGTGCAGCTTGCATTCATTATGTTTAAGGAAAAAAATGGTAGTGAGAATGTTGGTAACTTTCTCCCTGAGCGGCTTTCATTTCCCCTCTAGTTGTAGCATACCTCTGCCTATTATGGTGAAGAGGGGGTTGTGCCTCACACAGCACAGCTGGGCATTCATCACATAGAGAAATTAAGCTGGAGCTGTACTTGGGAGATGCTGAGGTTTTTAGGCTGTGTGTCAATTGATAGTTACTTAATTTTGTATTTTTCTTTTTGCCAAATTATCCACCGTTACTTGAAATACATTAATAGGGCCTTATGGAAGTATCAGACCTCCAGATATTTGTAAATATTGCAGGTACAAAAGTTGAATGCAAAAATTTATCAGTCTTGTGAAAAATTAAGTGCATACAGCATTTCCTTCCCTATTCCTACAATGCTGAATTATCCACTACAAACTTACTGTGACACCGTAAATTTAAATATCATTGATTCAGTAACACTGATGTGATTGAAAATACATATTATTGCTTAAACAAAGGAGCTGAACATTCAGAAGGAAAAAGAAATGAACAGCTCGAATTTTTCCTATGTATTAGAAACAATGGAAAATTCTGAAAAAAAAAAAGAATTAAAAGTGCATTGCATGACAGTAATAAAACCAAGTATGTTTCAGTTTTTGTTTTGTTTTGTTTTGTTTTTTTTACTATTTGAGAACATTCACTTTTTAAAAAGGCAGGGACAAAGCAAAATCCTGCAAACTACAAGACTCATTGAGAAATAACATTTTATTACAAAGTCTTGACATTTTAGTCTCAGTCATCACCCACTGGAAAATGGACCGCTGAGTTCCCTTTCACCAGCTGATGTGCTGCTGGATTTTGAGTTTTTCCATATGTAGACCTTAGTTTTCAATGATGAATAAGATGATGGGTCTTGAGGTGAAGTAGAAGCGAGGGGGAGGGGGAGGTGCGGGGCCTTGTTGCAGTAGGCTGATCCTCTGCCTGCGGGGCTGGCATCCCATATGGGTGCTGGTTCTAGTCCCAGCTGCTCCTCTTCTGATCCAGTTCTCCGCTATGGCCTGGGAAAGCAGTAGAAGATGGTCCCCTGCACCCGCATAGGAGACCAAAAGAAGCTCCTGGCTTCAGATCAGCTCAGTTCTGGCCATTGCGGTCATTTCGGGGGTGAACTGATGGAAGGAAGACCTTTCTTTCTGTCTCTCCCTCTCAGTGTCTGTAACTCTACCTATCAAATAAATAAATAAAATCTTAAAAAAAAAAAAAAAAAAGTTGGGGCTGGTGCCATGCCTCATTTGGTTAATCCTCCGCCTGCGACGCCAGTATCCCATATGGGCGCTGGATTCTAGTCCCAGTTGCTCCTCTTCCAGTCCAGCTCTCTGCTGTGGCCCAGGAGGGCAGTGGAGGATGGCCAAGTACTTGGGCCCTGCACCCACATGAGAGATCAGGAAGAGGCACCTGGCTTCTGGTTTCAGATCAGCGCAGCGCCGACCGTAGCGGCCATTTAGTGGGTGAACCAACAAATGGAAGACCTTTCTCTCTGTCTCTGTCTATAACTCTACCTGTCAAAAAAAAAAAAAAAGGCAGCAAGTGGAGGCAAAGACTTGTTGTGCCGTCAGACTATGCTCAGCTCCACCTGGCAGTGTTCTAGAGCCAATTCCCAGGACCCTTCTCTGCTCCTGAATTTCTCCTCTGCTTTTCTGTCAGCACATAAGGAAGAGCGGGGACACATCTGCTCTCTATACGTTCTAGAGCACATGGCACCTTCACCCAGAAGGAAACATTTCTGTGAACTGGCGTCTACTTTTCATTTGCTGCTTTCTAATTCTCGTTCCATCACACCCTCAACTTGCTCTCCTGACGTGTCACTGCATGAATAACTTTATATGCTGAAATACATATCAATATGCTAAGCTTTTAACATTGTGCTATGTGTTGCTTGTAACTCTGCCATGTAAATATGTAATTTACATAACCTGTTACATACATAACTTGGGAAGAAATTACTGTATTTTGATTTGTTACTAATGTGAGGAATGGGGAATTTTATGTTTTTTTTTTTTTTTTCCAGGACTGCCTTATTCAATGAAGCAAGCTGGGTTTCCTTTGGGAATACTGCTTTTATTCTGGGTTTCATATGTTACAGGTAAAATACTATATGATTACTTATTTCTGTGATTTCAATTGTATCATGACTACTTACATACACACACTCCGCAATAGAATTTCCAAGTTAATTAAAAAGTGCATCAAAGAAACCTAAAGAATTTAAGCATTTATGTCGAGGAGATTTACTTGTTTTACTAATCCTTTAAACAGATTAGAAAAGTTGAAGAGCATCATGTTACCAAAACTAAATCCTTTTCATGCGCCTTTATGCTTTATGCAGAAAGTGGTAGATGGGAGAGTCACAGCAAGGGTTGATTAAGGCTAAATGAAGATTGTGCTGTGATAGTACAGGTGGCAGGGCTTCATGAGCAGGTGCATGTGAATGAGCAAACTTTTTCAGCCGTGTTTGTGCAGGTGGAGCTGAAATCCTGCTGCTCAACCAGCAGGTTTCACCCCTCCCCACCTGGCCCCCTGCCTGCCCACACTCCCAGCCTACCATTGTCTTTCTATGCAGCCATAAGGTGCTTGTATTTCATGGCTTCTCTTCTGCTCCCCACTTTTCATGGCACATGTTCACTTATGCCCATGTTTTGCCACTCCTTTATCTAAATGCGGCTTTTTAATCTCAGTGATTTCTTTTCCTGCCGTCCTCATCCTTGCGCTGTTATCCTATCAGCTCACCTTATGCCTAATGCAGCATCTTTCTTCTAACTTGGGATCACCAAAGAACAGGCAGTGATCATAAGTAGACACCACCTACAGTGTTGCTGCTGTGGTGACCACTGTCTGTGATCACATAGATGCCTGTACAGCCCAGCACAAAACACAACAGCTGTCCCTCCTCAGGAGGGATCAGTGGGTTAGGATGCTCCCTCCCCTGGTTCAAGGACTTGGACCATATTCCACTGCTTTTCCAAGCCATAGCAGAGAGCTGGATCGAAAGAGGAGCAGCTGGGACTGGAACTGGCACCCATATGGGATACCAGCACTGCAGTTGGCGGCTGTACTCTGCCACAGTGCTGGCCCCTTCTTTTGCACTTTAAAAAAAATTTATTTATTTATTTATTTATATGAAAGGCAGAGTGACAGAGAAAGAGAAAATGAGTCCTCCCATCAGCTGGTTCACTCTCCAAATAGCCCCGAATAGCTCCAGGCTGAAGCCAGGAGCTAGGAACTCCATGTTGGTCCCCCATATTGGTGGCAAGGATACAAACATTTGGACCATCATCTGCTGCCTTCCCCAGTGCATTGGTAAGGAGGTGGATCAGAGTAATCGAGACCTGAATTGACACTCTGATATGGGATGTGGGTGTCTCAAGCAGTGGCTTAACCAGCTGTACTGCAATGCTGGCCCCTCTTTTATCTTTGTAAGGCCTCTTATGAGATATGTTCATTTCAACAGATAGTTTTGTTTTAAAAGTGCTGTTTTCATGTTTGTGAAATGTTTAAGAATGAGAAAGATTTATAAATATTTGCAACAAATAATTTTTAAATTTGCTTTATGATTTTTGTATTAATGATTAAAATAATTTTTATTGTCCAAGTATATATGAGGATTTAAAAGAAAACTCCCCTGTTAAAGAACATCATTTGATTCACAGATTATTTAATCATTTACATACAGTATATTTAAGGGAAGATAAAAAGATTGTAGTGATTGATATTTGAGACCCATATTTCTTAACCAGATGAAAACATTCATAATTAGTATTGACTAAATTAGTATCAAATTATTAAGTGCAATACATTTGGAATTATTACAAAATACGAATAAACAGTTCCCAACACCCGTGGAACTGGTTGCCTCCTCTCGCTCACACCTCTGTGGTCCTCTTCCTTAGTCAAGAAGTTACAACTTAGCTGTCCTGCCACCAGCATCTGTGTATTTTCTTATCAGTCTGTCATGCTTCTGTAAGAGTTGTTATCCTGTGACTCCTCCAATCAAAAGAGCCCAACACTCTATAATGAGGGCAACAACTACAACAAAATCATTGCATCCAAATTCCTTCATAGTTTGGCCATCTTCTGCATTTTAGTCTCATTCCCAGTTGCTCACATCTTTCACACCCCATCACCAATCCTTTCATGAAGACCGAGTTTGGCCACTCTGAACTGTTTCATTCCCCACAAAGAGACTGAGTTTCCAATGGCAGTTCTTCTGCCTCACGTTCCTTTTGCCTGTCTCATGAAATCCTGTTCATCCTCGCCTGCAACATTCAACTCTCCAACTCTTCTGAGAGTTTTAAGCAAAGAAAATAGAATGCAGCATCTTTTTTTCCTTGGAGATTATTTCTAAAAGTCTATTAGATCATTTAAGATGACATCTAGCAATGTGATGTTGACATGGATTCATTCAACAAATACATAGCAAGAGTCTTCAGAGAGCTCATGGAAATGCATATTTTAAAAAAAATAATTCATGTATTTCAAAAGTTTTTGCACAAACATAAACATCTTTAAATCTCATTTTCTTGAATATTTTGAGGTCCCCTCAATTTGTGCCAAACATTGGCCTACTGGACCAAAGAATGTTATCTGTGCCTTTCTGAAACTCATAATGTAATGTGTCAGGCAGATAAAAAGCATGTAATTGTAATACCTCATGGAAAGTACCATATAAGAATTTGTGCATGATTATGGTCACACAGCAATGAACCCAGCCTCAAAAGAAAAGGAACATTCTGGGGGAAGAGGAGATGTCCCTACTGAGTGTTTATCAGACGGAAAAAAAAATGTGAGTTAGCAGAGAAAATGCAACAGTACTCTAAGCAGATGGAAATTTAGAAATGCAAAAGGAAAATGTGCAAGGGATTGAGGCCAACTCCAGTATTGGGTTGATAATCATCAGTAGAAAGAGGGAAATTAGACAAGGCTGCTGAAGCAAACAGGAAAGCTCTCATGTAATGGCAACCATGACCATTTCCTCAGGTTGGCTAGGCACTGAGCATAGTGTAGCCATAGCACTATGTCCTACTGACCCATGAGGTAGGTATTCGGGTTCTACTTTTATTTAGAGGAAATTAACAACTCAGTAGGTTAAAATGACTTACCCAAGGTCTGCAGTTGCTTGCAACAAGAGCAGAATTTTGATCTAGTGCATGGATTCTGGGGAGCTCTTCTGGGAACCTGATACTTCTGTTACTAACTCTGTGGAGATCAGCAATTTATTTTGTCATTTGTGCCTCACTTTTCTTATCTATTAAATGGGGGTGATAATAGCACCCATCTAGGGTTGTTGTCAAGAGTTAATTTGTGTAGTGCATTTGGAAGTGCATTTAGAACATTCTGAAAACATTTGTGGGTGTTTCATAGTTATTATTATCTGACTCCAAATACACTTTTTCCACAACCATAGTAAAAAATAAGTTAAATCACAAGTTCTGGTCTCTTTGGCCTCTATAGCATGCCAGGCATTGTGGTAAACATAATAATTAAATTTAGCTCTTTAAATCTCCCTTTTTTCTGAATAGTAATTAAATCAAACGTGAAAATCCTTTGCATTAAAAGTATTCTGACATCTGCTTAATTGTTTTGCTTGCCACAGACTTTTCCCTCGTTCTGTTGATAAAAGGGGGCACCCTCTCTGGAACAGACAGCTACCAGTCTTTGGTTAACAAGACCTTTGGCTTTCCAGGATATCTCCTCCTCTCTGCCCTGCAGTTTATGTATCCTTTCATTGGTAAGTTCTTAAAGATGCATCCAGCATTTATACTCATAAACCTAGTCATTTGTGAATGAAATAGTTGTAATAGTCATTGGTCTTGAAAGGCTATCAGCAGTTGAAACATTTTTCAAGCCAAATGTTTGCTTCTTTAAAAAATTTTTCTTCCTATTTTTCTTTTCCTTTGATTTTATTTTCTAAGTATTTTTTGAAATAAAAATGAAAGTGATTTTCATTGGGTTAGTGTCGCTCCCCCTCTTCACGGAGGAACGACACTAAACCCTGCCTAAGCTTCATATCCGAGTCACGGCACCATTATGTCGCTCCCCCTCTTCGCGGAGGAACGACACAGGACCCTGCACTGTTCTTTCGTCTGCTCGGCCCTCCCTGGGTTTGCTGCTGCTTCTTCCCGGGTTGGCTACCGACCCTTCCACCTCCGTGGAAGGGCGGTTCCCCCTGCCACTTTCCCCACTTCCGCGGGGGAGCGGCACACCGCCGGCCGGCTCTCTCGGGGGCTGCACAGGTGTTCCTTCAGATAGATGTTCCTGGTGCATGTTGTCTCTCTCCTCCTTTATAGTCCTCTTCCGCCAATCCCAACTCTGCTACCCACACGCCGAGTACGCTGCTCTCCTCCAATCAGGAGCAGGATCAGCTCCTGCAGGTCATCACTCAAGTTGGCGAGAGGCAGCTGCGTAGAAGTTGTTACTCCCTTCTCAGCGCCATATTGTGGGAGAGCAGATGCATAGAATAAGTCTTAATTCCAGTAACTTAGTCTAGTCCGAGTTGCTCCCCACAGGTTAGTTTTGGTGTTTCTTTATTTGGTTAAAAAAAAAAAAAGAAAGAAAACAGAATGAGCTGGGATTAAAAGTAAATGAAAGGGGGGCCAATGCTGTGCTGTAGAAGGTTAAGCCTCCACCTGCAGTGCCAGCATCCCCTACTTCTGATCCAGCTCCTTGCTAATGATCCTGGAAAAGCAGCAGCAGATGGCCCAAGTTCTTGGGCCTTGCACCCACATGGGAGACCTGGATGAAGCTCCTGGCTCCTGGCTTCAGCCTGACCCACCTGGCCTTTGTGGCCATTTCAGGAGTGAACCAACAGATGGAAGATCTCCCTCTCTCTTTCTCTCTCTCTGTGTAATTTTTTCAAATAAATAAATAATGTTTTTTTAAAAAGCACTACATGTGTTCCTGAAAAAGTGACTGGAAGCTGAACTTTACCAACAAAATCAATTATGTTTTAAATGCTTACCCAAACTCACTATTCAAAATTTTTTGGAATAAAATCATTTGTAGTGTTGAAATATTATAATATAAATTGAATACTATATCATAATCTAATCTATTGCCTAGTTATTTTAAGGCTATTCATATTGGTAATCATAATGTATATTTGAAATAGTATGATTATGTTAATATTTGGGAAATAATAACATTGCTTTGAGAATATTCAGGATGAAATGTAATGGTTTGATGTAACTATTATTTTAATTATGTTTTTAGCAATGATAAGCTACAACATAATAGCTGGAGATACTTTGGGCAAAGTTTTTCAAAGAATCCCAGGAGGTAAGTCAAATAGAAATTTTGAGTAATTAAATATATATATATATATATATGTTTTAAAGATTTATTTATTTATTTGAAAGTCAGAATTACACAGAGAGAGAAGGAGAGGCAGAGAGAGAGAAAGAGAGAGGTCTACCATCCGATGGTTCAATCCCCAATTGGCCACAATGGCTGGAGGTAGATCGATCCAAAGCCAGGAGAGTGGAGCTTCTTCGGGTCTCCCATGCCAGTGCAGGGACCCAGCACTAGGGCCATTTTCCACTGCTTTCCCAGGCCATAGCACAGAACTGGATGGGAAGTGGAGCAACTGAACTTGAACCGGAGCCCATATGGGATGCTAGCACTGCAGATGGTGGCTTTACCCACTACACAGCACTGGTCCCTAAATATATTTATTTTATACAATTATAGTTTTTAAAACTGCTTATTTAATTATTTGAAAGATAGAGTGACAGAGAGAGAGAGAGAATCAGAGAAAGAGAAAGAGAGAGAGCCCTTCCATCCACTTGTTGCAAATGGGTGCAATGACTGAGGCTAAACCACATGAGCAGCAGGGGCCCAGGCACTTGGGCCATCTTCCTCTGCCTTCCCAGGCACATTAGCAGGAAGCTGGATCATTTGAGCCAGCACTCTAATATGGGATGCTGGTGTCCCAGACTGCAGGTTAACCTGCTGCACCACAACACTAGCCCTTGGTTATCTATAACAAATGTGGTTCATAATAATTTACAAATAAAGAATATTTTAAAGTAGAAGAATTGGGTTGCTTCACATCTCTTGCAATACCTCAATACAAAGTAATTATCTACTTTTATATATGAATTAACTATAGCTCAGCTGTTGAAAAAAAAATGTTAATACTCTTCAAACACATAGCAATTTTGTTTCAAATTCCCTATGGTTCATATCACTAGCTCTCTGTAGTCACATTTTTTTTTCATGTACTATTTATACTACATCATTTCTTACATAAGCAAACTACTTTCTGTGTTACTTTATTGTGGTATCATTTAACACGGTAAAAGTTATCTTTTCAAATATGTATCCTATGAGTTTTAAAAATGCATGTAGTAGTATAACCACAGCCACAATCAAAATACAGAACAATCCCATTATTCCCTCAAATTTTCCCCATTTCCCTTTGTAGTCAAACCCTCCCTCACCTACAGCCTGTGGGAACCACTAATCTGATTTCTTCCCTTATAGTCGTGCTATTTCCAGAATGCTGTGTAAGTGGCATCATATAGTGTGTAGCTTTTTGAATCTGGCTTCTTTCACTTAGCAGATGTATTTGAGACTCATTGGTGTCTGTGGGTGTATTCAGAGTTTGCTCTTTTTTTATTGCTGAGAAGTTTCACATCTTGTGGATGTACAACAGTGTATCTGTATTCCAGTTGAGGGACAAAAGCTGCTATAAACATTCTCAAGTTGCTGTTTTCAGATGCACTGCAACCTCACTCCTGTTCAGCTTTCCCGGTATCGTAGCTATTAGAAGACTTCAGCCGGCGCCGTGGCTCAATAGGCTAATCCTCCACCTTGCGGCGCCGGCACACCGGGTTCTAGTCCCGGTCGGGGCGCCGGATTCTGTCCCGGTTGCCCCTCTTCCAGGCCAGCTCTCTGCTATGGCCAGGGAGTACAGTGGAGGATGGCTCAGGTGCTTGGGCCCTGCACCCCATGGGAGACCAGGAAAAACACCTGGATCCTGGCTCCTGCCATCGGATCAGCGCGGTGCGCCGGCTGCAGCAGCGGCCATTGGAGGGTGAACCAACGGCAAAGGAAGACCTTTCTCTCTGTCTCTCTCTCTCACTGTCCACTCTGCCTGTCAAAAAAAAAAAAAAAAAAAAAAAAAAAAAAAAGAAGACTTCAGAGATTGTGCATCATTTTGCTTTTTTAAAAAAGATTTTGAAACTCTTTTAAAGGCATAATGACAGAGGGAAATGGAGAGAGAGAATTTTTCATCAACTTGTTCACTCTCCCAAATGCCATTGGTGATAGCCAATGTAAGGGCAGGCCACGCCAGGAGCCAGGAACTCCATACAAGTTTCCCATGTGGGTAACAGGAACCCAAACACTTGGACCATCTCCCACTGTCACCCACTGTCTCTGTCAGTAGGATCCCCTTTGCACTCGTGGGAACATCGTGCAGAGCATCCAGGACTCAAACCAGGCAATCTGTTATGTCCCATGTGGCAGCTTAAATCACGGCATCATAACACTGCCCCTCCATTTTGCTTTGAAGAGCTTCTTGTCCAAGTAGATAATCTCCATCTCCTTGTGACCTAACTCTGTAGTTGCCGTCACAGTTGAGAATGTTGATGCAACAATACCTTTCCTCTCAGTGTTTGAAACTCTCATTTCAGAGACATTCCAAACAAAACAAAATGAGACTGAGGGCTAGAAATTGCATCTGTACTTTTCACAGTGGAACCTGAAATCAAGGCGACTTTGTTATCAAACCATAGATTCACACCCTTTCAATTTTTCCTGCCTCTAAATAAACATCTTTAGTTCTGATTTCCCATGAACTTTCTGAAGTAGGTTTCTATTTTGTCACTTATTTATTGTTTGTATTTACTCATTATGATAGCCAAGAATCTGTAATGTACACCATTTGGGGCAGCCTCTCTGTCACTTCTGCCCTATCAAAAAAAGTTGATTCTGCCTACTTTCCTACAAGGAAAATACTTCCTTCTTGACAAGAGGGTAGAAATATATGAAGTATTTTTATCTAAATTGACTTTGGAAATTTGTTAAAGTGTTGTTGTTCAAGTCTCTTCAAACACAGAAGTTAAAAAAATCTCAGAAAATGCTCTGTCCTTGTGTAGCTTACTTCTGCATAAAAGGATTTGCCATTTCAGGGGTGCAGGGGATGGACAGGGAGTGATAAGTTTTTTTACCTTTGATAAAGATCTCTGCCATGTCTGGATTCAGATTGTATTTTAAGGGAACAGAGGAAGGCAGAAGTAGAGCAACCGATTAGGAGGCTGTGTGTTTGGAAAACATACTGTGTTTCCTCTGCTCCCACTCCATCATCCACACAGGGATCTGTCTTCCCCAGCAAGCAAGCATGAGATCTGCAGGGTACACCAACTGGGTGTCCTCTAGTCTAATTCAATTCTGACATCATCTGCCTGTAGAAAGCCGCAGGTAACACAGGTCAAGGGATTGAGCCCCAAACCTTCCCCCTCCACTTTCACTTCAGATGCCTGTCAAAAGCCCCAAATCACGTCATCTGTGCTTTGGACGCCACCTATAAATCATGGTTCCCAAACATCCCTGCCTGAGTTACATTCATTTCCTTGAGCAGCTCACAGAACTCAGGGAAACTCTTGTTACTCATGTGAGTTTATCGCAAGAGGCATTACGAAGCATAGTGAAGAGAGGAGGGGCACAGGGCTTCCATGTCGTGTCTGGGCACGTCACCCTCCAGGAAAATCGTACTCAGCTAGTCAGAAGCTCTCTGAACTCTATCCTTTTGGATATTTTTAAAATTTTAATTTTTAGCTGATACATAAAAATGTATATATCAATAAGGTGCTATGCGATGCTTAGATATGTGTGTATGTTGTATAAACTTCAGTCAGGGTGAACATGTCTATCTCCAAAAGCATTTATCATTTCTTTATGAAGAAAGCATTCAAAATCTATTCTGCAGGCCAGCGCCTGGCTCACTGGGCTAATCCTCCACCTGCAGTGCCGGCACTCCATGTTCTAGTCCCGGTTGGGGCGCCAGTTTTGTCCCAGTTGCTCCTCTTCCAGTCCAGCTCTCTGCTGTGGCCCAAGTGCTTGGGCCCTGCACCCGCATGGGAGACCAGGAGGAAGCACCTGGCTCCTGGCTTCAGATCGGCGCGGCACGCTGGCCGTAGCGGCCGTTTGGGGGGTGAACCAACGGAGGGAAGACCTTTCTCTCTGTCTCTCTCTCTCACTAACTCGGCCTGTCAAAAAAAAATCTATTCTACAATCAATTTTTAAGAAAAGTATGCAATATATTAGCATTATGTGTCTACCCTACTGTGCAATAAAATACCAGAACTTTTTTTCTCCTGCCTAACTGTAACTTAACATTCATTGGTCAACCATTTCCCTAATCCTCCCTCTCACTTTTTTTTTTTTTTTTTATGGAGACTTCATTGCATAGGTATAATTGATAATAGAGTGAGCGGGCAAGCCCATCATGGCCTGTCTATTCAGTTTCTTCATAGCCTCTCCGTGCGGCTTTCCTTTCTCCAGGGAATGAGGCAGGCCCGCTCTGTAATGAGAAAGGTCAGATAAGGTAGGTCAGAGAATTTTGTTATGGTCACTTAGAGGAAGGGGAAGATTAGAGCAGCTATGAGCCAGCTTGGGAAGGCAGTTACAAGGTAGAAACTGTGGTTGAAAACTAAGATATACTTATCGTAATATCACATGGACCATTACAACAGTGTGACTGTAAAATATCACAATAGCATTCGAAGTAGAAGTGCACCCATAAGTTACTTTTTTGTTACATTTTTGTGATTTATTTATATTTTTTCATGGTTTTATGTAGTTTAAGTCAAAATCATTGTCATCTAGGTAATATTTATATTATTCAAATAAATGCTTGAATATGTAGTTGTGTCACTATATACTACTTATACCTATAAGCACTTAATGACATTTACTTTGTTTTAGTTGATCCTCAAAGCTGGTTTACTGGTCGCCACTTCATTATTACACTTTCCACAGTTATGTTTATTCTGCCTTTGTCCTTGTACCGAGATATAGCAAAACTTGGAAAGGTAAGTTTACACTTTTAAATAGGGATAGAAATGCATGTTACTATGTGTATTAATTTTGTTGATCTTCCACATATTTGGCAAAGTTCTTAACAAGAGCATTCTTCTTTAGTTTACTTATCATTATGCCAGAGTAAACTGATTAAATCATTAGCTTGTTTGGGGGAGCTGATAGTTAAATAGTTAATAAATGTAAACTAAACATGTTCTTTTTTTTCAATTTATTTATTTGAAAGTCAGAGTTACACAGAGAGAAGAGAGGCAGGGAGAGACAGAGAGAGAGGTCCTCCATCTGATGGTTCACTCCCCAACTGGCCTCAGTGACTGGAGCTGTGCCGATCCGGAGCCAGGAACGAGGAGCTTCTTCCAAGTCTCCCACGCAGGTGCAGGGGCCCAGGGACTTGGGCCATCTTCCACTGCTTTCCCAGGCCATAGAGCAGAGCTGAATCAGAAGTGGAGCAGCCAGGTCTCGAACCCGTGGCCATATGGGATGCCTGCACTTCAGGCCAGGGTGTCAACCCACTGCACCACAGCACCGGCCCCAACAAGTCCTTCCTTTTTTTTTTACTTTTTAAGGTGGATACCCTTACTGATGTCAAACAGCACAACTTAAATTTAAAATATATAAATATTTAAACTGAAAGCAAATCTAAGTTATTGGGAAAACATTATTTTTGCAGATAGTTTAAACAATTTAAAATTAGCTAAGGATGAATCACTTCAAAGCTTAAATATTTTTTATTTGTCAGTTGGAATGGCTACTGGATCAGTTTTTACCTCAATCATGTTAAAGGTCAGGGTATTGCCATAAATTGTTTAGAGTTTGTTCAGTACCTGATTCTTACTACTAAAGGTAAATAATGAATTCTTCATAATGAAAGGAACCAAAGGGCCGGCACCTTGGCTCACTAGGCTAATCCTCCGCCTTGCGGCGCCGGCACACCGGGTTCTAGTCTCGGTCGGGGCGCCGGATTCTGTCCCGGTTGCCCCTCTTCCAGGCCAGACCTCTGCTGTGGCCAGGGAGTGCAGTGGAGGATGGCCCAGGTGCTTGGGCCCTGCACCCCATGGGAGACCAGGAGAAGCACCTGGTTCCTGCCATCGGATCAGCGTGGTGCGCCGGCCGCGGCAGCCATTGGAGGGTGAACCAACGGCAAAGGAAGACCTTTCTCTCTGTCTCTCTCTCACTGTCCACTCTGCCTGTCAAAAAAAAAAAAAAAGAAGAAGAAGAAATGAACCAAAGAATTATTCAACTCATAAATTCACTTGCATAAAATAACCTTTATATGCCTGTATTTTATTCCCTTTCTCTCAAGGGATACTTGTTTTTTACCCAAATCATTATTGGTGCTGTGTCTACAGGATGCCAAGCATTCTGATGAAAAAATTCTAAAGTTTCTTATCTTCTACTTCAATATTCTATTTTGAAAGTTGCAACAAGATGAATTTTTCTTTTCTCTGTGATGTTTGCTGTGTTTATCCAGTTCTGAAGTCCCTTCTTCCAGGTAGAACTCCCAACAGAGACAATATTCTACAGCCTTCCATCCCTAACAGTCATCCCGAGATGACCAAGAGGAGTATATTAAAAGGAACATTTTGTGAATTATCTGAATGACTGAACTGTTTTTAATTTGCATATTCAATGTCGACATGTATGTCACTTGTAAGTTCTGAGAACAGAAATGAGGTATTTATGAAGCAAAATCCACTAATCTTAATATATATTTTTCCAAAGAAGCCCTTGAAAATGTCATACTCAGATGCCTAAAGAAGTCTCCCAACAAGCCAGCAGAATAATCGGGAACCTTGACCTGAAGTCAAGCTGCTTAGGTTTGGGTTCCGTCTCTGTTGCTCTGGAGCTGTGTGGCCTTAGGCATGCTATTTAATGTTTCTGTTCCTTAGAAATTCTATGAAATCATAGTAAAAACTTCTTTTTGGTTAAAAATTAACAACCTAGAAAACAGTGCTGATGATAATCACATGCTTTAATACTATAATTTTATATTGTTTTTTGTCTTATCAGAGGAAAAAATCTAAAATGTGCTTATCCATTAGAAAATTAAGCATACAAACAGTGACTAATATGATCAGTGCACAGAGCACATATTCTTGGCTTATATTTTAACCAGTTGATAGTGACAGAAGAAAAAGGAAAAGCAAAACAAACCTACACAGTCCAAAGGACAAAACCAAGTAGAAAAATAAATCAGACTAATGGAGCTAGAGAGCAAGAGGAAAAGCAGAGGCACACACCCCCCAGAAGTGTGTGGGGGGACAGAAATGTGTTGTGCTGCAAGGGAGAGGGTAAGCTAAAGACGCGAGCAGCAGCAGCGGTTGTAGACAGCAAAAATAATGCAGGTTAACACTAAAACAGGGCCTGAAGGAAAAAGAAAACTCAATTTCACTTTTAGTTTTGTAAACTGAAAGTCTTAGTTTTGTATTCTATGAAGAGAGCCACTAAAAATGTTTAAAGCCATGTTTCAGGATTCCAGTTGTCATATTTGACATTTGCTCACCTACTGGGGAGAAGAAGGGAACCAGACTATGATCTGATAAGAAGTTACATGCCTGAGATCATCAACACTAATCTATTAAGGACAAACAACTGAAGAATTGGCTAAAGGAAATCTATGCATAAGTTTACCCAAGTAAAAAGGAAAACGTCCTAGTATTTTAAATAAAATCATTGCTCTGAAATTGATAATATTTTTACATATTCTTTTGCAGATCTCCTTTATTTCTACAGTTTTAACAACGTTGATTGTTGGAATAGTGATGACAAGGGTCGTTTCATTGGGTCCACACATGTAAGTTTCTGCTGATGCTGTTTTTAAACTTTACACATGTAGCTTTTGTTGTCACATTTGTCAATCTTTGATTTACAGCCTTCTCAGAAGTATTTATATGGCATAGTATAAAGGTTAAAATGAAGAGTAGTAGTTCAGAAACACCGTTTATCTTTAGTATTTGACAAAATGAGTGAAAATAAACGCAGACGATTGTAGATAAGTAGTCTTCAGTCAGAGCCTGCAAAGCTGATAAGACCATACTGAAATGCTGATTTGATTATATTTTTTAGTAAGCAGCCCTAAGAATTAGAATAAGCAAAGGATTTTGAATAGAGAGAAACAGGAACATAGTAGAGATATGTACCCCAAAGATGGAATTATTTTTTATAAAGTTTCACCAATTTTGGCGGAAAAGAGGACAACGAATATGGTATTTTTCTTTTTTAAACTAAATGCTGTCACATTGAAAACTACCCCATATTAAACTTTCTTGTGTTTAAATAATCCATCATGTGTTAGCTAGTGCTCATAATTAATTGTGATATTTATTTATTTCTGTTATTATTTGGACAAGTAAAATGTTGACAACTTGGTATTGGTTCCCCAAATTTTGAAAATACAATTCCTCCTTGAAATTTACAACTGTATGTACTGCTGATGTAAACTACACACTGTTTATGCTTTGTTTATTGAATAAATTCACCATGTAAGTGCTGGGTAACTTACACTAATAGTCCCAAGAAAATATTGCAGTCATATCAGCCACAGCTTTAAATGCAGAATTATATTTCTGCAATGCAAAATAAATATTTGCTGAATAAATAAATAGTACATTAGTGAGCTTAATGACATTTTAAGTATTTTCTCAATACTAAACTAGATCAAATAAAATTAATTTGTCATTAGCACAAACAAGTAATACTAGGTCTTCAATGAATGCTGCCTGTGAATGAAAACAAAAAGGAGCCCTAGTGACTGGCTCTAGTTGTTAATGTAGTCTTCGGGGTAATTTATGTTTTCTTGTTGAATGGTGACTGCTCTGCAATATTACTTCATTTTCTACTGTTGCAGCTTATGGTAAACTTCTTAGTTCACCAGGAAGATAGAAAAAAAATATATAAGCATTCTCCAGTTTTATTTGGAAGTATGAAATTCCTAGTCTAATTGCATGTGATGTCTTTTCCTTGAAGAAGCAAACAGCTATTTTTAGAGGATTTAAGTAAAAGCATAACTATCTACAATGTTTATAATAATTTTTTCTCTTAAAATAACTCAATCTTGATTCATGGTTGCATTAGTCAGGTCAGGTTGCCATTATAAAAGATCATAAACTGAGTGGATTAAACGACAGAAGTTTCTGTGCTCATAGTTCGGGAGACTGGGAGTCAGCGATCAGGGTGCCAGCATGGTTGTGTTCTTTTTGGGGACAGCTTTCAGTGTTCCTACTGTGCCCTCATGTGGCAAAGAGAGAACACAAGCTCCTTAGTGTCTCTTCATTTAAGGGCACTGATGCCATCACAAGGACATCACCCCTTGGATCTCATTCAACTCTAATTATCTCCCAAAGACCTCACCTCCCAATATGATCATTGTGAGAGTGAGGGCTTCACCATATGAAATTAGAGGGAAAACAATTCAGTCCATATCATTACTGGCTTTGAAATGCACCTGCGTCACTTCAACATGTCCATTTGTTCTTTCAGTTAGTAGACATTTATTGTGTGCCTACAATGTCCAGGTATCGTGCTGCATCCTGAGAAAAAATGGGAAGGAGAGGCATAAAACAGTACCTTCTGCAGGTTGTTCATGATCATATGGAAAAGGGGATTACGATCGCATACTGCAGAATGTGTATATGTATTGAAATGTCACGTTAGCACCACATATATATGTATTATTTTCTATGTCAGTTAAATTTTTTTTAACTTTTATTTAATGAATATAAATTTCCAAAGTACAGCTTATGGATTACAATGGCTTCCCCCCATAACGTCCCTCCCACCCGCAACCCTCCCCTTTCCTACTCCCTCTCCCCTTCCATTCACATCAAGATTCATTTTCGATTCTCTTTATATACAGAAGATAAGTTTAGCATACATTAAATAAAGATTTCAACAGTTTGCTCCCACACAGAAACATAAAGTGAAAAATAATAGATGATTTTTTAAATGATGATGAAACCAGATCAGACCTATTGTCATGTTTAATCCCAGTGAGAGTCAAGTTGGGAATTGATAATTTCTTTTTTTTTTTTTTTTTACAGAAGTTCAGTTTAGTATACATTAAGTAAAGATTTCAACAGTTTGCACCCCCATAGAAACACAAAGTGAAATATACTGTTTGAGTACTCGTTATAGCATTAAATCTCAATGTACAGCACATTAAGGACAGAGATCCTACATGAGGAGTAAATGCACAGTTGTGGGGAGCAACTCGGACTAGACTGTTACTGGAATTAAGACTTATTCTATGTATCTGCTCTCCCACAATATGGCGCTGAGAAGGGAGTAACAACTTCTACGCAGCTGCCTCTCGCCAACTTGAGTGATGACCTGCAGGAGCTGATCCTGCTCCTGATTGGAGGAGAGCAGCGTACTTGGCATGTGGGTAGTAGCAGAGTTGGGATTGGTGGAAGAGGACTATAAAGGAGGAGAGAGACAACATGCACCAGGGAACATCTATCTGAAGGAACACCTGAGCAGCCCCCGAGAGAGCCGGCCGGCGGTGTACCGCTCCCCCGCGGAAGTGGGGAAAGTGGCAGGGGGAACCGCCCTTCCACGGAGGTGGAAGGGTTGGTAGCCAACCCGGGAAGAAGCAGCAGCAAACCCAGGGAGGGCCGAGCAGACGAAACAACAGCACAGGGTCCTGTGTCGTTCCTCCACGAAGACAGGAAACGACACACTGTGACTCCTGTTGTTGACTTTACAAACTGACACTCCTATTTATGGCATCAGTAATCTCCCTATGCTCCAGTCATGAGTTTCCAAGGCTATGGAAGCCTTTTGAGTTCTCCGACTCTTATCTTGCTTAGACAAGGTCATAGTCAAAGTGGAGGTTCTCTCCTCCCTTCAGAGAAAGGTACCTCCTTCTTTGAAGACCTGTTCTTTCCACTGGGATCTCACTCACAGAGATCTTTCATTTAGGTGGTTTGTTTGTTTGTTTGTTTGTTTTCCAGAGTGTCTTGGCTTTCCATGCCTGAAATACTCTCATGGGCTTTTCAGCCAGATCCGAATGCCTTTAGGGCTGATTCTGAGGCCAGAGTGCTGTTTAGGACATCTGCCATTCTATGAGTCTGCTGTGTATCTCGCTTCCCATGTTGGATCACTCTCCCCTTTATTTATTCTATCAGTTAGTATTAGCAGGTACTAGACTTGTTTATGCGATCCCTTTGACTCTTAGTCCTTTCATTATGATCAATTGTGAACTGAAATTGATCACTTGGACTAGTGAGATGGCATTGGTACATGCCACCTTGATGGGATTGAATTGGAATCCCCTGGTCTGTTTCTAACTTTACCATTTGGGGCAAGTCAGCTTGAGCATGTCCCAAATTGTACATCTCTTCCCTCTCTTATTCCCACTCTTATGTTTTACAGGGATCACATTTCAGTTAAATTTCAACACTTAAGAATAACTGTGTATTAATTACAGAATTAACCCAGTCATATTAAGTAGAACAGACAAAAAGAAATACTAAGAGGGATAATGTATTAAGTTGTTCATTAACAGTCAGGGCTATGCTGATCAAGTCACCGTTTCTCATAGTGTCCATTTCACTTCAACAGGTTTCCTTTTTGGTGTTCAGTCAGTTGTCACCGATCAGGGAGAACATATGGTATTTGTCCCTTTGGGACTGGCTTATTTCACTCAGCATGATGTGTTCCAGATTCCTCCATTTTGTCAGTTAAATTTTTAAGATTTACTTATTTATTTGAAGGATAGAGTTACAGAGAAAGAGGGAGAGACACAGAGAGATCTTCCATCTGCTGGTTCATTCCACAAATGACTGCAATGCTTGTGGGTGGCCAGGCTGAAGCCAGGAGCCAGGAACTTCTTCTGGCTATCCCATGTGGGTGGCAGGGGCCCAAACACTTGGACTATTTTCCACTACTTTTCCCGGACCATTTTCAGGCCACTAGATCGGCAGTGGAACAGCCGGGACACAAAATGTAAAAAATTATTTTAGAAAGGAGTGAAAATGAAACAGAGAAGCTACATGTAAAGAATTATACAACCATTGGCACATATAGATGATTTTAGTGCTAATGGGTAAAAATAACAGAGATAGAAAAGGGTTATGAAAAGTAAGTCTATAGTACAGAAAAAAATATTTGGAATTCAATGTAGTTGTGAAATCCCACCAGCAGTTTAAAATCCTAACACTACTTTTAGCAAGAATATGGCTGTGGACAAGTTGTTTTTATGTGCTAAGGTTCTTGGTAACAACCTTATCTCATAGAATTGTGTTGTGACTATTAAGTATGATAATATATGATGGTTTGCCAGGTGTGGTGATAGTATGAAGGGTATATGCGTATGTCCAAATTCATCAAGATGTTCTATCGCATGTGGGCAATTTTTTGTATGCCAATTATGTCTCAAAAAATCTTTTGAAAAATAAATGACAGTGCGCTGTGATAACTGCCAAGTAGAAGCTTGAGAGGAGAACAGAGGCAATGCCAAAGAAAAGAGTGCTCAACCGTCTGTCCAGATCAGCAAGGGCTTCCTTGAGGGAAAACTATGATCTGGGTAGTTTGAAAGATGAATTGGAATTTTTCCAGAATGATAAAATGGTCAAAGAACTTAGAGTCCCGGGAGAAACACATAAAAGTGCAAAAACATCTATTCAATTCTAGTGGTATTTATTGAATGTCTGTTGTGTTGGTACTGTATTCAGTTCTGGTTTTCAAAAGCTGAATTAACAGTGACAAAAAAATAATAATTATATCAAACCAAGAAACAGTTTTTGCTAATATTTTGTGTATCAGAAAAAAACAATTTTTTGAGATTTATTTATT